TCAATGTTCATTCATGGAAAGAGTCTACTGTTATGAAATAAATTTGTCAACTGAAAACAGACTACAAACCAGTGCAGTGGATGACTGCCGAGTGGGTTGTCCACAATCAGTCCCGTCTTAGATTCAGAACGTTGTTACGTTTTACTCTCTGTAGTTTGGTATTCGTCCGCTTTCGAAGTTAATACGTTACTAGACGAAAGTGAATTGTAGATTATTAGTCTCATACAAAAAATTGTACGTTAATCAACTATGGGATTAAAAGGGTTTTTTAGATGGCGCGTCGGCCAATTGGAATTAATCTGAGAGAATAAAACATTTACAATAAAAATGCGTATAAATACAGGTCCCGCACGTACTATAACTAAAAGCTTTGGTACGTGATGTGCTTTGGTACGTGATGTGCGATACGTGATGTGCGGGGCCTGTATTTATACGGATTGTGATTGTAAATATTTTATTCTCTTTGATTAATTTCAACTCGCCCACACGCCGCCCAAACAAGCCCTTTTGAGACAAAGTTAATAGCTTATTCTATGGCTTATATTATTTATTATCTTTCGTATGCTTTTAGGGCTTTGTTCCAATGATACTAGTTGTAAAACTAAATATTAGTTGCTTTTTTAAAATCTGCGATATATGCTAACTAGGTAATTTAAATTAGGGACAAGCGGAATAAAACAGTTGCTTTAATACTCTGTGACAGTAATATAATATCCTCTTCAAAATAGCACATTTTCAAAGGGATGTCCGTACTTGCGGGTCTTAATATGAAATTATCAAACGGTGCCTGACCTGACACGTGGCCAGAATTCTCTAATAATTCCTAAGGCTCAGGTAGCACGCTTAAAGCATGGCATGGCATGGGGTACGTCATACGTGATATCAGATTTACACAGTGGGAAATTTTAGGGTAGCCCAATTAAGGTGTCATGTCACATAATCACCCAATCACTTTTGCCTAACAAGATAAACTAAATGCTTGATAACTCATTTATTTCAAATCCGTTTCACGTAATTTTTGCTGATCAGATGGAACGTATGATGATCTACCGTCTCTAAAAAAATTAGGCGTCCAGCATTTTCAGAGAGAACAATATAGGTGTTTTAATAATGAATGGGCTTGGTCTAAAATACTTGAATTTTCAAATTTTGGTGACAAAATCTTAGAACCAGAAGGTAAAGAATGCTATCTGCAAAGTAACAGCTCTCAAATATAAAACACGGCGGAGCTATTAAGGCCAACGTATGTCCAGTGACTTTTGGCCCACCCTGTATAAAGTCGATTTCGAGAGAATTTTGATGAAGACCCACCCCCGGCCCCCTTGATATTAGTTAATATAACCTGTTTTTGGATGGTTTATGTATGAACAATGTTGCATTGCTGTAGCCTCTTTATTCAGCGCCTTTGGTGAATTTATCTTCATTGCAATTTCATGCTTTTAGCCCCTGCTTTTAGCACCTATGCGATAATGTGCAAACTGTATTGTGGTTTGGTTTGTAGGAGTGAGGTGGCATTTTACTTTTAAATGCTTTTAAATGCTGTGTCCAAACAGCACGTACCTACACAATACAATTAAGAGGGCAGGGGGGGGGGTCTCTCGAAATTGATTTTATAGTTGTTTCTGATAGAGGGGAGTGATGTCTATATGCTGCTTTAGGTCCCATGGAAAAATATTGTTCCTATAAGCCGAAGTTATTGCTGGTCAAAGGTCAGCGCTCATGTGTAATTGTACCTATGGCGCGAGCGATTTTCAATCGCGTGCAATGAAAATCGAGTCTAAAAGTCTATCTTCTCCTACATTTTTTGAGCAATCACCTTGAAACTTTCGGGATATGTTTTAAGAACCATTTAGAATGGAATCTTTTAATGATATGTTCTAAGAACCATTTAGAATGGAATCTTTTAAATGGTCCTTAGAACATATCCTGAAAGTTTCAAGGTGATTGCTAAAAAAATGTAGAAGATAGATTTTTTCCCGATCCATGACTCAAAGTGCCGAAGGCACAAAAGAGTCAAGGACAAGGGTTAGCGATCGAGGTTTTTTTTTTGATATGGTAGCTTTGCGACCGTGCGACCGTACGTGCGTGCCTGCCCTCGTATCGCACACTGTTATCGCCCACGTGACTACCTGCGCAAAGTTATTTTGCGCACAAATCTGAATTAAATAATTGTTGGCGCGCGGCGCTGAACTGACCAAGTACATTATTAATTTCACAATGTACATATCCCACTAGGCACTAGTTGATAGCATACTATTATTATTTTGAGTTACTATTACTATTTTGCACAGATCCGTGTCACTGTCGGGTGTCAGGTTGCATAAACAATAAGCATATATATACACGATTTTCAAATTCAATATGGAATTATATTAACTTGGTGGCGCTCGGCCTGTCACTCCGCTATATCTGCATGCTTATAAACAGTTAAAACTGGGATCTCCAGGTTGTATGGAATATGATAAAATACGCCATCACGGATCGGGAGATTGAGCGGCCATCCACAAAAAAAGCGGCCGCATTTCTTGTTAGACTCGAGTTTCAGGGTGCGCAATACAATTACACATGAGCGCTGACCTTTGACCAGCAATAACTTCGGCTATGAAAAACATTTTTTCATGGGACCAAAAGCAGCAGATAGATATCACTCCCCTCTATCAGAAACAACTATATAAGATCAATTTCGAGAGAAATTTCATAAAGACCCCCCCTGCACCCTTAAAACAAAAAATGCGACCGCTTTTCTTTTGTGGATGGAATATGGTATGACATCATATTGTATGGAATATGATAAAATACGCCGTCACGGATCGGGAAATTGAGCGGCCATCCACAAAAGAAAAGCAGCCGCATTTCTTGTTACCTCACTGGCCTTAAAAAAGGTGAGGATGACAGTGATTCGCTAAGGACTAGGGATGTCATCTTGCAGCTTTAAACATATATTGAATATCATGGGGGGTCCAAGAGCGATCATAAGATATCTGAGCAATAATAAATCTGTAACCGTATTAGCTGACTCAGTAATATCCGGCCCACCAGATAAGCTGCAACTTTACTGGAGGGCTTATTAGAAAAAAACAGAAAAATTAACTTAATTAATAAGCTGCATAATATTCTTTATTGCCCAGGTTATTGCATAAAGGAATGGTAAATAGAGCACAATGTGCAAGGTATGTGACAAAAGCGGGCTGCATTTGCGATCAGCTTATCAATTATCAATATCATGTGACCTGATCTTGGCTTACTTTTTAAGACTATTTAATAAACTTTGAAACCGACAAATATTCATTATTCCCAAAATTTCTGGTTCTTTATCGTGTTTATGATCGTCAGAGAAATTATAGCTTACATTTTTCTTCTTCGGAACATTAACTTAAAGATTTCGGTACATATTTATATTATTGGTCGGAATCCCCGTAACATTAACAAGTTAAAGGTCTCTTTCAGTGTTGGAATCCTCGTTGTTTTATTAACAAAAGATTTACCACAAGTTTAGCCCAAAATAAAATTACTGAGCTGTTTTACTGTGGTCTGTGTCACTAAATAGCAGCAATCATTATATTTCTATTAGACGTCAGTATTCAGTAATGTTACCACTATTAGACCGACTTTAGACGTCAGAAACGTTACCACTATTAGACGGAAGTCCATTTTGTGGATTTATATACATATATTCATAATCTTAATATCAAACTCTTTCATGATGAGTCATCATTGATGACCCTCTAATTTTCTAATTTTCCTGACAAAGTTCAGGCTCTATTTTTTATGTCAATCCGGTTTGTTCCAGTTACAGTCCAGTTACAGTTCCTAAGGCACAATAAGACGCTTGGTACGCGTTGCAGAGTTCACAATAAATATAATAGTAATATGTTGTGTATTCTGTGTAAAATTATCTTAATCCCGGTTGGTGCGACAAGTGATATGTTGGCTATCGAAAATGTCGAAGACGGAATAATAAAGTATTGCAGTTATTTGTGCAATAGCTGGGCAATGTCCAAGAAAGTGTGAGACTGTCCAAGAAAGTGTGAACAGGCGCTGGTGCTTGAGTTACAAATCGTATGGAGGTGTTAGTTCAGACCGCGGTGTCCCGTGATGAGGTGCACTGCAGCCCTGTATTTCTGTCTGTTGTTACTGAGTGTAGTGTTAAGGTTTTTTAATGGTGGTAGCATGTTTGGAACCCGGTGTCATCGTTTGGGCTCTCTAAGGAAATTTCTTTAAAAAATTTCTAGCATATGTTTCTCCAATCAGCAAGGCTTTTGCTCGTACAGAAATCGATTTGATGACTCATAACAGAATAAAATATTTTAGCCTGAACTATATAATTTTTTGTGTCAAGCTGAACCGGACCAGACTTCTCAATTATCTATTGGTTTATCATAGAACAAACCTCAATAACTCACCACATATTGGTACATTTAACAATCACACAATTTACACGTGCGATCACACACGAAGAAATCTTTGAATGAAGATAGAGAATATCTGTACGATAATTTCTAATTTTCTTTTTTCTGTCCGTGATGAATCTTTGTTCGGCGAAACTAACAAAGATTAATCACAAGTTAAGCTAAACATAAGACTATCGGACTGCGATGAATGGTGCCTTGTACCACCCTGTGGCATCATTAAAATATATCAAATCTGTTACATCGCTTAAACGTTCATTGTCTGGGTTTTATTTATGGTTTAAATGTTGTAATGTTTGAACTTTGATAACCGTGACGTACCATATAATTGCCCATTAATTCTTCACAAATCTGATCAAACACACGATGCAGATTGCAGGTTCCCTTTAATCATTATTTGACTTGATTTGTAAGCATTATTTGCTTATTTGATCTCAGAGGATTTTGTTGAATCGCGTGATCAATGAAGGCTTTATTAAAAACTCGCTTTATGTTCGATTTTTAATCACATACTGATTTTAAAATAGAACCTAGCACATAAATTAGTATGTTGAACAAGTACAAAGTATTCATAGTGAAGTTATGACAAACCTGCAGAACACGTTCTCAAAACGTTTTGGTATGCCTCTAGCGTAGGGGATCTTCAGGGAGAATCTAAGCGGCTGTCCGACCTGCATGATACAACTTTGTTAGTTCTATTAATACCAACAAGCTAAATATAACAATTAGACTAGCTTTTGACAAGTTTGGTTTCCACCTGGTAACACACTTTTGCAGTCCAGCGAGATGATTTTAAAGATAGCATTACACGTGACATATCATGTAGGTGTTTTTGATCTCAAACAAATATACATCGATTTTGGTATCAAATTGTAAGTTTTTGTGATTAGATTGATTTTAGGGCCTGTCGTGATATCTTGGATCAAATTAGTTCCACTGGTATCAGGTAGTACTCCTCATTCAAAGGTCAGTAGTTGAAGTTACGTTTAGGTAGCTGGTTGTATTCAAAGAGATGGCCAAGATCGGGAGCCAAGGGACCTGGAGCCCTGCTCATTCATTAGGTCTGTAGGGCGACAATCACTAGAACTAGTAACTCCTGCTTCTTCTACAGCAACCTTTTTCGTGTTCTTCAGTGACTCATTCACCACAATTCTCTGTCTGTCGTAGCATGTCTGATTAATCTAACGTTGCCCTCATAGATAAGGAGACTATCAGAGGTTGAACTGGACAAAGATGGTAGTTGGCTGATTAAAAGGTAATAAAGCGGAACAGGATTAATTAGAAATCAGATAGGGAAGATTATTTGTGCTCGAGATGCAAGGTTAAATTATGACTTGTTTAAAAAAATGTCAAAACGAGATTAATCCTCTCCGGCTCAAAATATACTCAAATTGAATAGGTTCAAGGAGCATAATATTTCCTTCAGCCCCAATTAAGTTATTGACTTTTTTAATACCGAATTGCAGTCACGTGCACGTCTTGTGTCCGGTTGCGCAGACATCGTCTCAAAGTGGCGATGGTTTTTTATAATATAATCCACTTTATTTCTGTTTGCTACGTTGTCATTTTGGCGGAGAAATTATGTTTGATGATAACAGAATCCCAGGCAAATGTGATTTTTCATTCTGTATCAATTTGCACTCGGCAGCGCCTCGTTCAATTAATAGTGTAACGAATTGTACGCAGTTAGATTATCGTATATTATGTGATTATATCAAATGTGTTATTTGTTCAATATTTATATAGCGCTTTGTAGTATATAATACAATCTAGATCTTACTAACAACTGAGTGTGAATGCGGCTAAACACCAAAGCACCAACTTGTAGTGATCAATTGTCTCAATCAGTTCCCTCCTCTCATTAAAGATTATATAATATTCACATAGCTCAACAGCATGAGATAAGTGGAAAACAACTAACAGGCTAACTCGACTAAGGAGCTAACAGAATGTACATTTATTTCTCCTCTGTAGTTGCGATCTTAACTATTAAAACGACGACTTTAATTATACAAAATATTTCGGACGTTCGACATCTCAATTAAATTAGTCTCAATCAGTACAAGGTATGGTGCACCGATTTAAAATTGACAGTCGAGTTCGAATCTCCGATAATTATTCTAGAGGGCCTCATGCGGATGCCTCATAGTGCTTTTGCTCGAACGCTTGGAACTTTGCGCATATTTACATACAAACATATTTTTGAGCGAACAATCGATTAAAAATAGTATAGTCCGGTAATGATTGGATTGACTCTCATGTGTATTTCAATGAACTGAATTCTCTAAAAAACTTTCAATCCAAATCAGTGCACTACAATATAAATGGGTACCAATCCCTACGTCGACTGTCTTCTTCTGTTTTTTGTGATGCTTCTTTCCCTTACAGTAACCATGGCGCAGTTGTATCGGCTACTAGTGTATTAACCAAAATAGTTTCGCTATATTGAGATCAAGGGTCGACCGAGGGCAGGATTTGCTACCGAGGCCGAGGAAATTTTGCTTTGATACAACCGAGGCCGAGGCAAACCGAAAAATCGCTATTCCTCGGTAAAACCGAGGAAGAGGCCTAGGACTCGGTCGACCCTTAAAATCTTCAACATTTCGTCGAGGCCGAGGAATAGCAACTTAATTTTTAACCGAGGCCGAGGCAAACCGAAGAATTGTGCTCCTGACCGAGGCCGAGGAAAATCGCTATTCCTCGGTAAAACTGAGGCCGAGGTCGAGGACTCGGTCGACCCTTGATTGAGATAAATATATTATATATTAAATGATATATCGATAGGCACTAGTAGGAACCGACCGGAATAGGCTTTTGGCTGCCGGACCGGATTTTGCCGGATATCAATCTATTATCCGGTTAGCCGGATTTTGCCGGACCGGAACCGGTTGTTAGGAAGGGCAATAATAAGGCTGCCGGAACTTGCCGGAAAATTTAAATTAATCCTTATTATTGTGCTTTTGTCATTATCAACTATGATATTAATTCTACTAAGCCATAGTTTGTAATTACACGATAAGTTTTGCATTCCTAAGAGCAATTTAATACAACCACACCGATGATATTTCCTGTTTAGGCCTAGCAGTAGACATTCACATAGGTCAAATATCAAATCAACAAGCAGTACGTTGTAACCAGAGTAAACAAGTAGTAACAAGAGTAGACAAGTTATTATCAGAAATGATATGCAATTGGCATATCCTGTCGGCTGACGGACAACTAGGAACCTTTCAATTTTACCTAGTTAACTAATTAACATGCAAGCTTGGGAAATCCAATCAGCTCTGACAACTAGGAACCAATCATGACATATCCCCGACAACTAGGAACCTCTGGAGATACTTTAAACTTTCAGGTGTCCACCGATTTCACAGCTGTGCTGTATATATTTCTGCACTCATTAATTAAGACAAAGATTTTTTTCAAGATAATGATAGTTCAAACCCAACATAATAATTACATACAGAATACATTACTCAATATCAATCTCATGGCCAAAGTATTTGCCAATCTCAAACAGATAGTCAACCTTGCTAGAGCAATCCGAGTATTTGGAACAGATCTGGAACAACTGGTCATTGGAAGTTTTCCTTCTAATCCTTTTCTGTCCACCAGCTGTTGAGATCCTCTCTGTCCTTCGATGAATTTGGAGAAAGCAGGCATGTTGAATTGAAACCGATACTCTTCATGTTCACGTTTCAGTATATATACCAGAAGTGCGGTTGTATATTAACAGCTGATCAACTCCCGCACTTGTGATTTTATGTCTCGTATCACTCCCATTGCATGCTCGGCTCACATCCTTGGATACGAAAACCAGCCCCTTTCGGACCCGGCTCACATCGTTCGGACCCGGCTCACGTCCGTAATGTGAACACATACCGAGAGCTCAAACACTTCTTAATATACTTCATAATACACAGCTACTTACTAAACTGACATGTGAACCCTACCCAGGTTCTTGGTTGTCCGGCTGTTAGGATGGTTATAATATGGATCACATCACAAATGATACGTCACTGATTGGGCCATGTGATGTGATACCTGTGGGAGGCCGAAATGAGAGGTTCCTAGTTGTCGGTCAGACCCCTTGAGCGCTATTGGGCTGCACGACTTAGGGGACCCCCAATTATTAGGAGTCCCTCGGGTGATCAGATCATGTCACCAATTAGTGACGTATAAATAATGATGTGATCCTTCAGTAGAATTTAACTGTAGATTTCCCACACACAGTACACACACACACACAGATTTATTGAGATTATTATTTATAAGTATAATCACTTTTATTGTTAATTAGCGGACTAACATCGCTCGCTCGCTTTTCCCATTCATTCACGGCCTACAAATAATTTATTATTGGCGAATGAATTTCCCAAGGGTTTAAGATCTTAAAGAGTTAAGAACAGTTGCCCACACACCACAGCTTGAGTTAGGCACTAGGCAGTGATTACAGTGATAACTGTTGATTGACCCTTTCAGATCGTAGAGGTCTGCAACACATGCTCGCTTTGCACATGCATTGTTTTTATCTCTCTATAACTATAATAATAAAGTAATAAGCAATTAAAAGTTATGTCTGTAGCCCGCTCGTCGCACGTGCATTAATTATGAGTAATTAAACTTGCATGTTCATAGCATATTATTATATATTTTACCAAAACCCATAATTGGGTAGAGTGGACCGTTGCCAGTGTTTCCCAAAACTCGGAGCCAAAACTGGATCATCTTACTATATATAAAGCGAGACGATATATATATATTTATCTGTGCCATTTTACTGACACCACGGCATCAACTTTAACGCGAATTTCTGCAAAAACCGTAAAAGATATACAACTGAAACTTTTTTGACTGGGTCAAATGCTTTAATGGCCTCCAAATCAGCATGAAAAAATAAAAAATCGGCCAAGAAATAGGAGTTTTAGAGCCCAAAATTTGGTACCCCAAGTGGTGTCAAAAACGCGAATTAAATAGGTAATAATTGTTTTAGTCTCTTGAGTCTTGACACCATTTTAGGGTTAGACGGGTTCCTGCTAGTAATAATAAAATGTGATAAAGAGCATTACTAGAGCTACTTTTCGTAATAAGGTTCGGTTCTCCTCTATACTACATAGGTTTTGGAGTCGATGATCTACAAGCAGTACGTAGCAACGAATTACGAGAGCAGACAAGATGTAACAAGAGTGGACAAGTTATTATCTAGAATGACATGCAATTGGCATATCCTACCAGACCCCTTGAGCGCGATTGCGCGTGTGAAACACAGTTGTTCCCTTTTTGTCATGCAGGCCTGAGTATCAAAGCACAATAGTTCCCGATTCACGACACAACTGTACCTTTTTAGCATGCAGGCACACTTAATCACTGGTTAGTTCCAATTAAGCGACACAGTACTAGTAGTACCCGATTCAGGGCACAGGGGGGGGGGGGGGGGGACTCGAGGCTTCCCCCTGGTAATGCGATCTCGGAAGGCAGGCCTCCCCTTTGCAACACAAGCTCGAAACAAGTCGAAACATTTTTGATTTTTTAAAAGATTCGAATTAAAAAGGGAAGAAAAATATACATTTTAGAAATACATTTTTTTGAAGAAATATCCGGCAAAAATGCGGCAAAATTTTCTGAAACCGGACCGGAGCCGGAACCGGATATTAAAGCCGGATATCCGGCCGGATCCAGATTCAGCCGGATATCCGGTCGGTTCCTAGGCACTAGGCAGTAAAACTAGCGGGCTGCAATGAATGTGGACTTGCCAGTTGCCACCCCATGGCAACATACAAATATATCGACTCTGTTACATTACTTCCTCGAATTATTTGTTATATACTAGTTTTGAAAGTATTAAAACGATATATTAACACTTACTATATTTTATTATTTAATACCTGTAATATAGTGGGGTCGAGGAAAGATATAAAAATTAAAATCATAGTCAATAAAGCGGGAATTACTTGATTATTTCATTTCTTACATACTTTGATGTTACATATTGCGCAATAAAAGTTGTACGACGTACGTGGTGCAGTTAAGGGGTATTAGTAGAAATAGTACTCGTAATTACCCATTTGTAAATTATATGCACCATATTCGGTCACGTAACAGTAGATAAAAAGATAAAAGTACCTCCACATATCCATCTCTTAGTATGCCGTTAATATCTTTTAAAGACTGAGACGATTTTGATAAAGACTTTTGATTAAATCCTCTCATGCCGTTATAACGGCATGAGAAGATTTAACAACGAAAATGTAACTTTAAGCAATATCGCCTATAAAACTAAGCAACGGCAGATATCCCAATGAATGGCCACTTACTCTCGGAGCCATAAGCAGACGATAAATATTAATTATGATATCAGTAATCTCCTCATTTCGAGAGAATCCGTAATTTTGCTGATATTATCTCAACTCTCAAGCGTAACTGTGCCATCTTACAAGGGTTCATTGGCGTGGTAATAACTTGTCACCGCCTTCTACTGGAATTGTTTGTCGCCCTTTTTATTTATTGTATAGTATAGCGGAGATGAGCCAGCTGGCCCGTTCTTTACGTCTAGTCGAATTTATTATAAGAATGATTATTATTTATATTAAGTATCATATCATATAAAAACGTATTTATATTTACATCTATATATTTTATATCATATATCATATTGTAGATTTTTATCATTATTTATTTTTGTGCATAGTGGAGTCAGCTGTCCCTTTTTTTATGTCAAGTCGAATTTATTCGAATGACTATTATTACGTACCTCAAATTAGCAACTTATGGTAAACTATACAATAAGTATTACTTATGTTGTATACTATATAAACTCGCCAACAAGTCCTCAATTAGCCTAGAAATCCTAGTATCGTCACCAAACATCCGACATGGATCAAAGTGTGCTTTATATCAGGCAGATAAAAGATATAGACTTTAAAGTTTAGAGTGGGGGTGTCATCGCCGCCTTTTTCTTCAAGGTTCGAGTTTTCATTATGTTTTATCCTCATTTTTATGGCGAATTGGCAAACATTTCGTTATAACTATAAACATGATTCAGATTGTTTTGCCATTTTCGCCATCGATGGCGAAGAAAATGACAGTTTTTTATTCCAAAAAATACCTAATGGCGATGACGCCCCCCCCCCTCAGTTTTGACGGCAGGTGTGTCTATCGTGTCTGGCCACAATGCATTAATGCGTTAAGTGAGACCTGATTTCTAAATTTATCTGATCGCAGCAGTCTACGATTGAGAACTGGCTTTGCTGTTGCAATCTGTTTTATGTTGTTCTTGGATTTTAATCCAGCAGACCACAGGATCCGAGACAACTTAAAAACATAACATTATATTTGCTATTCAGTCGGAGGATCCCGAGACTTTGTCGACAGTATTATGGCGAATATGTTGATTTCATAGAAGCTTTATGCGCCAACTAGAAATCAAATCCATTAAATTTGGAAATGAAATTTTCGTTCAATCAAAACTTTTGTAAAACCAAACCTAAGAATCGTTCAAACAGTTTTTTGAGCTACAATTAATATTGAACTTGAAGAGGGTTTTTCTTATATTTCAATTCCACCGGGATTTGTTAATATCCACCAGACTCGGATCTCTATCTAGGTTAACTTCTGATCTCGCACAAATATTCCTCTCTTGAGTTGGCGATATAATAATGTACACACTTGTAATTTTGGAGTGGTTTAAGGGGGCCGGGGGGGGGGGGGGGGGGGGGGGGGTCTTCATCAAAATTCTCTCGAAATCGAGTTTATAGTTGTTTCTGATAGAGGGGAGTGATATCTATCAGCTGCTTTTGGTCCCATGGAAAAATATTGTTCCTAGCCGAAATTATCACCGGTCAAAGGTCAGCGCTTATGTGTAATTGTATTGCGCGAGCGATTTTCAATCGCGAGTTCTGAAAATCGAGTCTAAAAATCTATCTTCTCCTACATTTTTTGAGCAATCACCCTTAAACTTTCAGGATATGTTCTTAGGATCAGTAAGAAGAGAACTCTAGAGCCAGAATTTTAAGATAGGCCTTTAAAGATTTTTAATTCGATTTTGAAAATCTTGGACCTTGAATTTTAGAGGTCCAAGATTTTCAAAATCGAATTAAAAATCTTTAAAGGCCAATCTCAAAATTCTGGCTCTAGAGTTCTCTTCTAACTGATCCTAAGAACATATCCTGAAAGTTTGAGGGTGATTGCTCAAAAAATGTAGGAGAAGATAGATTTTTAGACTCGATTTTCAGAACTCGCGATTGAAAATCGCTCGCGCAATACAATTACACATAAGCGCTGACCTTTGACCGGTGATAATTTCGGCTAGGAACAATATTTTTCCATGGGACCAAAAGCAGCTGATAGGTATGACTCCCCTCTATCAGAAACAACTATAAACTCGATTTCGAGAGAATTTTGATGAAGACCCCCCCCGGCCCCCTTAACAAGTTATTGAACGGATCCTCCAGATTAGGTGACAGGAGAGACCACGTGCTCTCCTCCATGAATACCCTGTATCAGTATGTAAATGTGGACTGTGGCTGGGGTGCGTGTTTAGGGTGCTTTTATCATTTGATCGCGGAGTTTTCTAACCTGCTTTCGCCTTTCACTCCACTCTCAAACACACTATTAGGAAGTATAAAATATGTTGTTGTAAAACTTACCAAAGTGTCAGGGTCGTCTACAAATATGTCGTCCTCCTCCGTTATGATAGAACCATCTTCCTTCACTGGGTAATACTCCACCTGAAACAGATAACGTCAGGTCAAGGTTCTGTCTAGATTCTAATCAAGATTCAGTCTACACGAGTTTCATAATTTATATGCTGAAGAAGTAACTTCTTCGATTAGTGCGCAACAGTTTTGCCGTGACAATGGAATTCATCATTAGTTTTTAAATGATCGTGCTGGCATATTTTGTCCTTATAGAGACTACTGATCTACCGTATAAATCCTAATTGACATAGTAAAAGTTTCAACAGAGTATCAAAAGTCACGGATTCCTAGATGCATCTATTAAACTCGCTCTGGGAACTTGACGTATTCTCTCTCACTTGATATCTGCAGTCAAAACCCAGGACGAATCAGCGTTAATATTGGGAATATTCGTGTACCAGACACATTGTTGGGACACAATTTGCAAATTGCAACCTGTCCATAGGGATATTTCATAGGGATATTTGCATAGGGATATTTCAATCAAATCGCCGTCCATCCAGTATCAGAAGATCCATTTGGTATTCTAATATCATTACCCATCAAAATGGCTATTATGTCAGTATCAATGGCTTCAAGACCCATGCAAATCATGAATGTCATTCACAGAATATGTTGAGTTGGAAATACTGGTTAGTACTTAGTATAACTGTCGGTATATTAGTATTGCAGTCGTCGAGACTCGAGAGGGTTAGAATCAGAAGATATAGTTGGATTTACACAGGATTCGAATTAAATTATAAGTCCACTATGGTGAACCGTCATAATTGTTTACAGAATTGGGTAGGTAAATAAATTATTAAAAACATTATCAGCTTTGTTTGAAATCAGGGCTAGGGTTAGCCTTAAGACCTTAATTATGAATAATTCGCGAGGTTCTCACCAAATTGATAGTAAAATTGTTTAAGTTTCATGCATTTGAAAAACGTTGACGCATATCATCGGTGAAGCTAATTCGCTCTTCGGAGCAGCGAAGGAAATAAGTGCACACACAATTGATTTTGACAGCATAGGAACGCCTTTCTTGAGATTGAATATACTGTGGGGTGTTTGGTTGAATATTGAGTGAGCGGTGGCAGTGAATATGGAGGCTCTGGTGATTTTGAGGATTTACAGTTGAGTAAGGAGACAAAATTTCTATAAGATGGTCTTTGAGATTTGTTTCATTGATATTGCTGGAGTCGGTGATTTCAGTGCTCATTTCAATAAGTGGCATTTGAGAAATATTTTTTAATTTCGACCTCTGTTTTGAGTACAAGTCGCATACATAAAGAACATGTGACTCGTCTTCGATGCTCTCGAGGCCCAGACTTGTTTGACACCACGCACATAGTCTTTGCTCACGGGGGGTGTTGGAGTATGATCTGCCCTTTTCAATATGGAGATCATGGACGCTGATTCTAAGTTTTGTGGTGCTATAACGACGAGAGAAGCCTTTGCATAGGTATAAGTAGGGCTCTCGGTTGAAGGTGTGTTTGATTGAGTGATAGAATTAAAATTTAGAAGAAGTAGACTTCTGATATTGCCAACATATTTTGAATTGATTGGTTAGAGCTTCAATAATTTTAGGAATTCTATACTTTTTGCTGCATAGTGGTTTGATGCATTGACTACAATTTGACTGATTTTCAATGGAGTCTTTTAATACTTTGCGATCACTTACAGGGTTGTGAGCGGCTTTGTTAGCTGAATTTGGATTGAGAATTCGGTGTGCAGTTACGTGATCTAGTTTGTAAATATCGTCTTGTTCAAGGATAAGTGGTTTGATGTATCGATACCAAGGTAAGTTGAGTGATTTTCGTTCTTCAAAGGCTGCAGTGACAAACAAATTCGACTTTGATTTTGTATTTAACCTTTTGAAGTAATTCAATGTTAAGCGAATTGATTCATAAATCAAAGGAATTCTTCCTGTTTCTCCCCATACACCTATTTGATGCTTTACAATGGACTCCTAATGCCCATTTTAGGAATGGAATATGCAAGTTTTAATGAAACCAACTGTACTCTGAATAAATTACCGAACGGGATTACTGACCTTATTTTGGAAAATTTCTACGAGCCTATCCAGCAAGACCCTGGCAGAGTGACACGACAATAATTACCACACACAGCTAGCTGCCAGGTGCAACAATATAACAACATGACCTTTAAACATTATTATATTTGTTCAAGAGCAACAATACATAGACTTATAGTTATATTTCACAGCGATCATCATCTTTGGTACACGTACTCTAGTTGTCGAACTAAAGCACGTGAATAATCATATTATTTGTGATTATCTTTCGACAATATTGATTTTGCGAGTATTATATTATGTTAAATGACCAGTTACTGCACTATCAGCTTTGCAATTCTACTTTGTTACTTTGTAGGGCTTCATAGAATCCTCTATCGAGCCATCGAAAAAGTCGACCCCCGGACAGTGTAGAAACTGTTTTATCACCACTCCAATCCAGCAAGGAGTTTCCATTCCGACGGCTGTATCCTGGAGCTGGAGGCTCGTCCGGAAAAGGCTTCACAAAGTTCGTTAAAGCTGCTTTGAATTGCATAGGATCCTCGATGGTGTGCATATGTGTTGGGATAACATTCCATAATCGAGGTCCAGTGACTGCAAATGAGTTGTCATGTAGTGCTTGATTACGTTGACTGCTGGACTTAGCTATACTGGGCACAACTGCTTTTTGACCATGTCTGAGAGTCACCGAGAACTGGATACCAATATCATTAGGGCACTTGCAATGCAGAACTTTCCACATGTTGATGATTAAATACCGTTCTTTCAATAGTAGGTAATGATACGAGAATATTCTCGTAATAACGCTGTTATATAGAATAACACAGATGCAGATCGTTCACATAAATGATATCTTGGTATTCTGGGGGAGTAGATGGATTTGCCCTATAGTACAGACAGATCCGTCTGAAAAAATCGATCTGCCGACACACAAAGCTTACAAAGGATTTTTGACGTTTTTGAGTCCTAATAGATGTCCTTTATGGCTGACCAACTTTTCCAAACTTTTCCACGTGTCTTAAGGCCACTTTTTGCCACTTTACCACTTTTTACCACCTTTCTTGTTTGTCGAATATCTTTAGTTGTGAACATCGTAAAAGGTTGTGGATCAATCGAGTGTGTTTATATTACCATGAAGAAAAACTTTTGTTCTAGCAATTTTTACGTCAGATAATCATTTAATTGGATAATTATCAATTAGCTAATTCTGTAGTAGTGGAACAGCAATACTAAGGTAATAGTATTGCTGTTCCACTACTACAGAAATAATCCCGATAACACTCGACCTCTGCCTGATCCAGAGGATATCACCATTTTACCTTCACACAGACATCGAACGCTGTACGAAGATGACGATCAGACCTCATTACAATTAGCTAATTAGCAAGATTCTAAAAATTTTTCATTGGCTCAAAATGATCGGAATAGCTTAAAACACGCAGAAAAGTAGTTTTTAGAAAAACTTTGAAAATTTTTCACTTACATTTTTTTTCGAGACTTGGAAAAATTTCGAAAATTCAAAAAAAAATTATCCGCCAAAAGTGATCAAATCGCATGAAACGCGGAGAAAAATGCTTTTCAAAAAAACTTAGTGAATTTTTCGTTTCAAGAGTACTTCAATCACCAATATTTGTAGTTGGAGTTCAGTAAATCGCGGCAGATTTTAGTAATCAGGAATTACTAAGTGGAAAGGTATGAAACTGAAAAACGTTAACCATACGATATAAGAGTTTCATAACTAATTACAATACAGCCTTATCGATTTTCACAGAAACTGCACCAATGGCACAGTCAAGATCGAAAGACGAAACGATAGCCTGCTGTACTATCATTTTATTGACTTCAATGATGAATCAGTGGGGTTAAGATAATCACATTTGTAATGAATAAAACCTCTCTGTACCATCAATTGTGCTAATCTAAACCGGCCTACCTGGATTACCAGACCTCTTCTTTTCCTCAACAATCAAACCAAGTTGTTCATATAGTATTTGGTGGGCGATGTAAGTACTTATCGAGCTGTATTCAATCACAATACGACACAATACGTGTATATTATATGGCTCTTAATGAGGTTTATGAAACGCTTAATACCGTGAGAAACCCGGTATAGACTATAGAGACGTTTTACAGTTTATCACGAAAACGTATACTTGGCCTCATGGCTCATTTACAGTTCCAAGAAGGCAAGAACAGACCAGGGAAACTAAGGAACAGCCAGATCTAGGAAGCAAGTGTAAATACACCTTCCAACATCTACTGTGGCTTGTTTTGTATTGTACTGCATACCGCTTCATTTGCTATGCGGTATAAAATCACCCCCATATGTCAGGGTCGGCTAAAAGTAAAATCAACAAGGGTAACATACGGGCAAGGATAAGATTTAGATACGAGCGTCGGGCAAGGGGTAGTAAAGAACCGGTAATAATTCATTCAGTAAAATGTTCCACGAGGGCCATAATATAATATACACGTATTGCATTGTGATTGAATACAGCTCGATATGTACTTACATCGCCCACCAAATGCGATATGAACAACTTGGTTTGATTGTTGAGGAAAAGAAGAGGTCTGGTAATCCAGGTAGGCCGGTTTAGATTAGCACAATTGACGGTACAGAGAGGTTTTATTCATTACAAATGTGATTATCTTAACCCCACTGATTCATCATTGAAGTCAATAAAATGATAGTACAGCAGGCTATCGTTTCGTCTTTCGATCTTGACTGTGCCATTGGTGCAGTTTCTGAGAAAATCGATAAGGCTGTATTGTAATTAGTTATGAAACTCTTATATCGTATGGTTAACGTTTTTCAGTTTCATACCTTTCCACTTAGTAATTCCTGATTACTAAAATCTGCCGCGATTTACTGAACTCCAACTACAAATATTGGTGATTGAAGTACTCTTGAAACGAAAAATTCACCAAGTTTTTTTGAAAAGCATTTTTCTCCGCGTTTCATGCGATTTGATCACTTTTGGCGGATAATTTTTTTTTTGAATTTTCGAAATTTTTCAAGTCTCGAAAAAAAATGTAAGTGAAAAATTTTCAAAGTTTTTCTAAAAACTACTTTTCTGCGTGTTTTAAGCTATTCCGATCATTTTGAGCCAATAAAAAAATTTTAGAATTTTGCTAATTAGCTAATTGATAATTATCCAATTAAATGATTATCTGACGTAAAAATTGCTAGAACAAAAGTTTTTCTTCATGGTAATATAAACACACTCGATTGATCCACAACCTTTTACGATGTTCACAACTAAAGATATTCGACAAACAAGAAAGGTGGTAAAAAGTGGTAAAGTGGCAAAAAGTGGCCTTAAGACACGTGGAAAAGTTTGGAAAAGTTGGTCAGCCATAAAGGACATCTATTAGGACTGAAAAACGTCAAAAATCCTTTGTAAGCTTTGTGTGTCGGCAGATCGATTTTTTCAGACGGATCTGTCTGTACTACTAGATTCATTGTTATTTGACGTATTTTAAGGGCCCTCCTAGAGTCAATCTATTTAATGGTTCACGCCAATCGTTAAACAAAACGTCGAACTATCATACAACTGCAGACAGTCGTGATCGTTCACCATTTTTCCCATTGAAACCGTTGTAGTGGCCATAATTTGATAGATAAATACTGAATTATTAGCGACAATGTCGCTAATTGGCGTCATCTAGCGTCATCTAGCGTCATCTAGCGTAATCTATCATCATCTGGCGATATTTCACGCTAGATGACGCTAGATGACGCTAGATGACGCTAGATGACGTCATATGTCGAATTTCAACTATCGGTAAAGGTCCAATAATTGAATTAATTTACCCTGAGTTCTCCTTTAGCTGCTCCTTGATAGTTCGTAATCGTTAGCATCTGTTCTTGCTCGAACTGAAAACAATATATTTTACGTTATTCTTTATAAAGATGAGTTTAACAAACATCAGATTTACGTAAAGATCTCAAAACTAAGAGTCTAGTTGAAACATAGTTGGAAGGAGTATGTCAAAGCCTTCATAATCCCTTTCGACTTCAGTGCTGCCCTTTTAGTGTTTGGAATGGGCTGACGCAAAACCTGACAAATTTATATAATATATTAGTGAGCTAGTGGTCAAAAGTCAATTATAACTGATTATAAAGTAAATGTATGATTTATTAACAAAAAGTACTCGTACATAAATATGCCAGTATTTGCGGTTATTCAGCACCCGTCCAGAAGCCTATACATTTTTCTATCAAAGGTTACCAAAATCAAAGTTGGAAACCCTCCGAAGCTTAGACCATTTCGGGGTCTTTTTAAGGTTCAGAAGCTGATAGGTTAACTTTCCGATATAGGATTTGGTTGGCATGGTGCTTCCTGGAATCTTAACGAATGGATTTAAACGCTGCAACTGTAAGCCTTTTCACCAACTGGTTTCCTAGAACTTAAAAATATGTCCAGAGACGACTGGACTGATATCTCAGTATGCTTTTCTGAGTTTTAGGGTTTCATTTAAAACGTAAAATAACTTTTATACATTTTCACCTCTTAGCTTAGTCATTTACTATTTTTGTCTATTTCCAAAGAAGAAGGAATCATAGTAAAGCTAAGTAAACGTTTCTGAGTAGTGTGCAATGTTCGGATTGTAATAATATTAGAACTACAGAACAAGATCTGATCCTGTGATGAATTAGGTCAGTCTGCTGAAATCACGATGAAGAAATCTTACATTGTAGTACTTCAGCATACGAAAGCATCATAATTTGGAATTTGGATCAATGTACACGCCACAAATTAGTGGAAATATGAAATTCTTGGAAACTAACTTATAGTAAGTTATGTGACGATCTTGAAGGGCATATCATTTAGCTCTCTCACATTTCCGGTTTCCCTTGTGGTCTCTACAACCCAGATATTGTTCAATATCAAGAAATCACGTACATATGCACATGTTATTATGATTATACGAGCTGACACGGGTCTCAACGGCACTGGAGAAATGGCCATGGGCGGACTTATGGCGGATAGAGTTCTATGGAGACAGCGCATCAATACTCGGACGCTGAAGCCGCCTTAAGTCAAGTAAGTCATTATGATTATTATCCAAATACAACCCAGATATTGTTCAATATCAAGAAATCACGTACATATTCATATGTTATTATGATTATTATCCATTATTAAATATTTAATAAAACCACCTGTTCCTACACAGATGTGACACTATTATAGTTAATATAATAGCCTCTTCTCAGCATTGCCATTAAGTTTATCGTATCTCTATAACTCTCTATTTACTCAATCTTATTACCTAGAATATTAGGATCTAGGTAAGACAAAGTAGATTCCCAGACTTCATGAGAACACACGGTTACGACTGATTCGAAGACCCGGCCGTTAACCTTATTAGTTATTATAACCTTTCTGTAACTATATTGTCCTCTGGTTGATATTGCCAATTTCCTTTCTACCCAAGGTGACACATGTTGTATATTATGCAAGGTTTTATTTGCTGTGCTGTGATATTAATTATGCTTATAGTTATATACAAATTTGATGCCAAGATAGTGATTTAATTACCTACCACTATCTCCGATATCCTTACTCGGATATCATTAGATTATCAATAACTTGTCACTTGTTGCTGGGTTATAAGGTTATGTTGGCAATATAATCTAGTTGGGAAGTCGTCGACACTTTCAATATGAATCAGTTGTGACAGTTATTAAGTTATTAACAATAACGGTAATAATACTGTAATAAATCCCTCACTCACCAAGTAACCAAGACTCTTCAGAGAGATGCTGACAGTTCCTATTGTTGTTTCTTTATTTTCATCTTCCACAAACGGATCCTCACTCTGGGGTGACTGGGATGTTAAAGTTCAGAAACAAAACATGGGTATGATAATTATAAAAAAACACAACCGAGAATATTATGTTGATTAATGTAATGTTGTAATAGTTCGGGAGGGGGCTGCAGCTGGGGTAAACTTTATTTTATTTTCTAAAGTTTGAAAAGTATTTGATAATCAAAAGTTTACTAGAAGAGATGCTTAGGAGACTAGAGATCAAGAGATACAAAGAAAATAGTCTGTATCATGACTAATAGTCTGTATCATGACTAATATATAGATTTCACGGATCACTGGCGGCCGATCAGTCAAGGCAGACTAGTTGCTTGGTGCCAAACAAACTCCAGATCTTAGTCCCTGAAGATTAATGTCTCTTCTTATCATTGATGGTTTTTTATTCTTACTGTCTTCTTTGATATCAGCGTTTATTTCTGGCTTATCAGGAGACAGTAATATAGATAAATAGAAATTACCCATAATAATAACATAATATAAACTATAATAAAGTTTAGCCCATGGATTTTGCATTCAAACATCACTGGATACTATATAGTTGTCCTTAACATTCTGAATTTATTTCTACTGTCATAACTATTTCGGACCAGATTAATATATAATTCTTATATTCTTATCACGTAGAGCACAAGTTCAATTTATAATTGTTTTTTTTTTGTTTGCTTTTGAGAAAAATATGCAGAGTTCCTAAAAGACGCCTTCCACAAAGGATGAAGGCCTTAATTATAATATGATCGTTTAAAGAATAAAGGACGAGCCGACTAAGAATTGCTTCGATTCATTGTCAAAGTTAGAAACTAGGTTCACCCGTTCACATAATTATCGATACTAAATGTTTGTGATATTTGTATAACTTCAATGCTCCATTAAAGTTATCAATTAGAGTCTAACTACCACCTTAAGAACTGAGTCGTTTTGGAGAAATTCCACATTGGATTAATTGAAATTATTAAGAAATTCTTTGTTTTATTTTATTGTTATTATTTCCATAGTTAACATCTCAAATTACTTTCTAAGTCCCCGTTACAGTCATCGTTTATAGTTTCTTCATTTTCTAACTTTGTAATTCTTTCTTCTAGATATCTTTATTCGCTGTTTTAAATATCGTTTACTCTTAATTTCGTGACAATCTGCCAATTTTTCATATAACCGAGCAGTCTTGACGACCATACAAATACAATGCAAAACAGAGCTTGAAGTTTATCTATAACACCGTTCTGTTACTTTTAGCGTTCAAGAAAATAACCCAGAGTTACTAAACGATTAAAAAGATTAAATCAAGAGAGCCGTCAGCATGAAATCTCACGTTATCATGTGATGTTGTCATGTTGAGTCTTTGTCAATCTGTACCTGTAACTGAATGATTTGTTTGATCGGTATAGATATAGTCATCTGTATATCATCTGTATCATTCTATTGTTTTATCAAAATTTGAGGGAGAGTCCTCGAAATATAAATGGACCACTCCGGTAAGTGGACCACTCCGAAGACGTTTCTTGGTTACTATGTGACATGTGAGTTATACATTTGTTCTAAGAACGACACACTAGTTCTGGGATAATTTCTAATTTAAAGGTAGGGCCACCAACTGGCCACCACAATACGGCCACCATATGGCCACTGTACAGCCTTTTTACGGCCACTATACGACCACAAAGTTGCTTTGGTCGTTAAAAAATAGAACCCTCATAAGGGTACTATTTCTCAAAATAACTTGATTTCTGATAAAACATTGTTTGTCGTTAAATGCAATCTTTGTTAGCTTGTAAAGAGGTAGGAGAAATGTGATCAAAGTTTCAATTTCATAACTTTTACCAGTCATGACTATGATAGTACTCTAATTTCTCTAAATATTTCTTGATCTTCTGAGCTTAGGGGTTAAACGAAAGCGTCATAAAATGCTAAGCAAATTATAATCTTAGCTTTATTTTTAAGAACTACTTTAAAAAGTAGCATTGATTGAGGTCATCATAGCGTCACTTTCTTAAATTATTTGTCATAATACGGAGTTCCTTGACCCGGTTATAACTAGGATGGTTAATTAATATCCCTGATATTTAGGATGTCTTTATTAATCAGACAATATGGACCAGTGTCCAGTATCCAGTGACCACCATGTGATGATACTACACCTATAAAGTATAGTGAACCATTTTACCGTCCATTTCTAGAGAACACTCAACACATAGCCATGGAATGGACTCACCGGTTTTATTCGATTTTAGGTCGCGTACTACATATCTCCGTTTAAAGTACGGGAATTTGATTAAAATTGACAGCATATCATTTGTGAGTAGCTAACGAGCAGAAAAATCAGGAGAACTTAGAATGGCATAAGAAGATCGTTGCATCACACATAAGATCTAAGAACTTTCTGAAGTTGCTTATTACCAGCATTGATCTTATATCTTTACATTAATTAAACTTCAAGACAGTGTCATTCTTAAAGTCTGAACGAATACTTCAAAATGTTTATTCCAGAAAAGGGTCTAGTCCTCGCCACTATTCAATTCTATTTAAATTCTGTCATCAAGGTTTTCCAAACATAGCTGACTCATGACTGTACGTCTATACAACGTGTTTCATTACCAAAACAAGGACCAAAAAAAGTTTGAGCAAAATTTCTGAGAGTGAGATACTATGTACTACGAGGATGTGAATTGTGAGCAGGTTTGGTTAAGTATCGAATCCAATCCTTTTCGCTGGGTAAAATTGGTCACGTTATCTATCAACTAATTGTGCCTCGTGAGTCGTGACTACCGCTTACAATAGTTAATAGTACTATGTTTACAGTATGCACTGAAGGGGTATCCTAGGAAGTTTCTTGAACTTTTAACAGGTACCCCTCCTCATTTAACCCTCAATTAAGCTTCCTATCATTCGGCTGTGTCGACCGAGGAGATCGCATAGATCCAATGGATCCTTAGCTACTCCCTAGACTAGGCGACACTGGGATTCGAACCCTGAACCTTCTGCGCAGAAGGCGGATGCTCTAACAACTAGGCCACCTAGCCCCCTTACAATGGTTATTACAGTTTGAGAGTGCCAGTACCGCAGTGGGATCGAGAGGAAATGAAGACAGTAATTATATCCACCAGCGTGCGCTTTTTCGCATAGCGGGCTCTCACCAGCCCGCTGTCAAAGGGCCCGATATCTCTACAGCCCGCTCATGATATAGCCCGCTAACAAGTGACATTTAATTTGACCAGTAGCAATATAGCCCGGAGTTCTTTAAAATATTTTCAGTTTCTGTATCGTCTCCATGTGAAATTCTATAAGACAACAACTTACAAGTTACTTAGAACTATAGTTGAAACAGGTTTAATTCATTAACGATGAATTCAATTGCAATAATCGTACAGTGAGCTAATTAGTGTAGTTTCTGTTTCTAAATTCCCACGGCAATATGCAGTGGATGTAAAGAATGTTAAATGTATCAACTGTAAACTCTGAGCTCACCCTCTATCGGACGCTATATCAGTTGTCACGCAGTTTGCCATGATTGGCTCATAATTAACACGTGACACTGACACACTGTTACTATGGTTACCAAATTCGTGGAGACGTCCAGACTAAATTCTAAGCCGGTGATCTCTATTATAGTATCGATAATTGTTTTGTGTTTACCATTTCAGTTGTGTTTACCATTTTCATTTCACTAGTTCAGTCGATAAATCTTGAAATGTAGGCCGAAATTTTACGTGTTATTCTATTGTGTTCCCAAAAGATATTTTGCCCTGTTTTTGTTTTGAAACTGCCATTTAAATTAATGTTATGAATTTGATCTTTAACTTTCATATTAAATGTCCATGATCAGACTGTGATCTCGAGCTCTCTGGGTTACTACTTTTGATTGTCCAGTCACTCAGTAGCTGCTACAGAAACTGTAGTAACTGGTTACCCGGGTAACCCTGGTTACCCAGGTAACTGACATGATAATGACAACTAATTTGGTAGTAGAGGGCTCTGTGGCGACTGGTGGTGCTTGTTCTGGTTCCAGGGAGGGTGAGGGGAGAGAGGTAGAGAAGTATAGAGGAAGAGTAGGAGAGAAAGAGAGGGAGAGGAGGAGAGAGGGAGATAAAGAGAGAGAGGGATAGAGGGAGAGAGGGACGTAAGGAGAGTGGGAGAAGGAGAAAGGAAGATAGGGAGAGAGTGAGAGAGGGATAGAGGGAGAGAAGGAGAGAGGCCTATATTTTGATCGTTTACATTAAAATATGTACCTGAAACAATGAGCTGAAACATTGTTTGATAGCAGCCGGTTTTACGTTCTATAGTCAGTCATTTTGGCCTGTTTTACATCTTAAACCAAAAGCAACATGATTTTTTCGTAACTTTTCTGAAATCTTGTACATTAATTTTTTGTGATTGTTGCAAACTGAAGCTTCGTGATAAACACCCGCTGATGGATATACACGATATCATTCCTCACCTCGAGGGCGGCACTATCTTATTAGAAACATGTTGAAAGTAAAAGTGAAACTAAATTAAAAACGGATCTCTTGAAGAAACTTAAGACAGTAAAAACTAATATCTGTAAGAAAAAGCTCACGCTGGTGGATATAATCCACATCACCTCGACCCGCGGGCGGAAAAATCGTATAGCACTCGGGCCCGATGGGCCCTCCGTGCTATACGAAAATATGTCCTCCTCGGGCTAGCGCCCTCAGGGACATATGAAATATTGCACGCGCGTGCGCGTGCAATATTTTGTTCCGCCCGCGAGTCTCCGGTGATATGTATATATATTAGAACATGTATTAGAACATCATCGATATGTGGACCCCTATTTTACAGGATTACCCAAATCTTGACAATGTCATAAATAGCAATCTTCTGATTAGGGAAACGGCCAATATCTAATGACGACTAGCTAGATGTTATTGCAATATTCAGAACCGTTACGACCGCCTCCGCAGCTGTGTTAGATTATAGTTATAATATATTGAATATTTAAATTTAGCCGTTTTATACATTTAACTTTAGATAAAACTTGTCAAAAATGTAAGGTTTTGCTTGCCCAGTTGCTCAATGGGTGTTTTAAACCTAGTTACTACACATTATAGGTGCTATTTTATCGCTAAATGATGTGCGTTGTGCAGTGTAAAAATATATTATATAATACGCAACTTATCACAGTTTGGGGCACTCTGTCTCTTTCGACACTATTATCGTATTATATATTCAGTTAATTATCCCAAGACCCAAGTTATAACTCAATAACTTGGGATTATTATGGACGTGTCTCTAGGAACATTATTATATAATTAGATTTTACCTTCCAAATATTTATCACTAAGTCGACAGACCAAGCTGTTGAACAGCTGCATTAGATTATGATTACCATGTTAACAGCTAAAATATATTAACATAATATTATTCATTCATTCATCTGGTGGGTCAGCATGGTCCATTCTCATTCAGCTCACTGAATCAAGGCAGTAAGGTAGTAGTGTCAAAAGTCGGGGTGAGATGTGCCGAGAGCAGGAATTGAACCCACGACCTCCCGAAAACCATTCAGGTGCTATACCATTAAGGGGTCCGGGACTCTAGGGCGTAAGACTCTAGGGCGTAAGGCTTCAACCCTAACCCTAACCCTAACCCTAACCCTAACCCTAACCCTAACCCTAACCCTAACCCTAACCCTAACCCTAACCCTAACCCTAACCCTAACCCTAACCCTAACCCTAACCCTAACCCTAACCCTAACCCTAACCCTAACCCTAACCCTAACCCTAACCCTAACCCTAACCCTAACCCTAACCCTAACCCTAACCCTAACCCTAACCCTAACCCTAACCCTAACCCTAACCCTAACCCTAACCCTAACCCTAACCCTAACCCTAACCCTAACCCTAACCAGCCGTAGACTCTCACGCCGTAGAGTCTTACGCCGTAGAGTCCGGACCCCACCATTAAGCTATCTTGCCGACAACTCAATTCCAACAATTCACTAATTGAAACGCAAAGTGTAAAACTATTTAAGGGGAACTCTCACTTTTTCAGCACTTTTATAATGATATGGTTTCACAATATCCAGGCTGGATACCGTACGTGTAAACTTGCATTGTTGAGAGGTTGATTGTTTCCTGATGGTCTGATATAGTTGCCTGGTCAGTTTCCGTCAACGTTCTTTTTCTTGGCTATAGCCGTACAATTTCTCTGGCTTCGACTTGGCAAATACTTCTATTCAAATATCTTATAAGTTGCCACACTTTGTAAATTGTGGCCAAATTTAGTGCTTTCCGGTGTTTATTGTTTAATCACACCTGCTTTTAAATCCCAAATGCTTTTAAATCGCACCTTTTTTACGCAAATATATAATATTAACTTCAAATACAGAAGTTTCATTATCAAAATTTACTGTAAGACTAGACGTTTACTTAATGAAGGATCATGGATTATTAATTAGCGCGTTATATTTATTAATACTTACCACGCGGCACGCGTTCCTTTTAGAAAATGTTAAATTTAGTCACATGTATCACAATCTACTTGATACAAAGTACACAAATATTTTGGGGTCAAACTTTCACATATTATTATACCGGAAGTGCAACCGAATCGCCGATCCAGGAATGTTCAAAAAATTAGGATTTTGTAACTTCGTTTATGAAAGGTTTTAGAAGTAAGCAACATACAAAAATTACCGGAATGAGTGTGGGTGAGTCAAGGTTTCAAGGTCCCAAACCCTTTAGTTTGCGAGCTATAAAAGCCAAACAATGTGACCCGAAACCAACAAAACTTAAGATTTTGTAAATTACCGTGGAACAAGGGGGTTTTCTCAGTAATGTGATGTTAATGATATTGTGTATATCATTAACATCACAGAATGCTGTTTTAAGCAGTATATAGAACATGTTTACCAGGTCCATGATAACATATAGTTAATATAGACCACTTCCAGTGACTAACCGGACATTAATCTTAAGGATGTGCTCCCATCACAGCTATAAGTAGTCATCCGTAGAAAAGCGAATAGGATTAGCCCATTGTAGCTTTTTCTTCTATTATATAATATAGAGCAGTTGGTAGGAATAGCCCACAGCTGTTCCCTGTCTTTTATTAACAGCCCCAAGCACTATAAGATCTGGGAGTGCGAGGCTGTCAGGCTCCTAGTTAGCAATTATTGTGTAAACTATAGCCACTCAAGAGAAAACTTAAGAAATTTTGAAAGGGTTGTTAAAGTTATACAACACTAGATAAATGAAGTCATAGAATCGTAAATTCTTGGGTTTGGAATTTTGTTTGCGTTTTACTCGAAAAATGAAGGGTTTCGGACATTGAAACCTTGATTAGGCCCCACTAACATGCTCATTCGGGTGATTACTGATCATTTGTTGTTGTTGTTGTTGTTTTTTAACCAATCTGGTTCCGAAACACTCATGACTCGCCGCATGTGGTTCGTGAGCTTCTCAAACCCTTCATAAGCGAAGTTAAAATTCTTAAATTTGTTCGGTTTCACGACACATTTTTTGGCTTTTAAGGGGACCGGGGGGGGGGGGGGGGGGGTCTTCGTCAAAATTATCTCGAAATTGATTTCATAGTTGTTTCTGGTAGAGGGGAGTGATATCTATCAACTGCTTTTGGTCCGATGGAAAAATATTGTTCCTAGACGAAATTAGCGCCGTTCAAAGGTCAGCGCTTATGTGTAATTGTATTGCGCAAGCGATTTACAATCCTGATTTCAAGACCCCCCGGCCCCCTTAAATCGAAAAACAAGGGGTTTGTGACCCTAAAACATTGACTCGCTTACGTACGTTAATAATATAGATATGACATTCGTTGAATTTATGCGACAGGTAATATAACTACTTTGTTAAGTTATATTGCTTCAACCTGTCAAAGAATCGTTTAAGACTGTAAAACGAGGGGGGGGGGGGGTATTAAGGATGGGATAAGTAATCCGTATTGGTAGTTGTTAAGCTACATAGGTTTGTTCCTGTTAATATAACATAAAATGTTAATTAACTTACAGCGGGTACTGACTCCCAAGATTCGTCACCCTCCACAAACTGTTGGTACATTTCCTCCATCTTATACTTGCGAGAGATGAAGTCTTCACGTGACAGGAGGTAGGAACAGGAAGTCAGGTACGAGAACATGCTCACCATCGCCTGAAATATTTCATTGTGTTCAAACGAGAACTTTCATACTTAACCGCAATTAGTTTTATTCAGATTGATATCTAATGTACTCTGTTTTTGAGCAGTTGCCAACAAAGCAGAATTGCGGATAAAAATGACCCCGTCGAGCTAGAACATGCCAAATTTTCCGAAGCATCTTCTCAACCGCAAACTGAGGTTTCTTGGCGTTGAGTTCCACGAGAAGAAAATTCTTGTTACATGATCAACCCGCCACTTAAATTTATTAATTTAATGTTAATTTATGAAGAGTCATGACGTCAAGGGAAACGTGATTTAACTTTCATTCAATAAAATGAACTTTACTTCGTCTTGTACAAGTTTGTTATTGTAAGACTACAGGTATATGATAGGTCGGCAGACGATGTAACAATTTACTTTTAATTTTTTAAACCGTTAACTTTCTGAAATATGCAAATTCAATTTTACAGAATAGTTATTTATGAACTTGGTAACTATAAACCGCACGGATCGATGGTTCATTGACCGTAATATCATAATCTTTATTTTTCGATGATTTAGTCCTTTTTTGCTCCTTTTTTCTTAGTTACTAGTGGACCTATAAGAAAACTGCTTAATACCATTGACAAATATTTAACATTCCGTGATTTTATGAGTTTTCTGAAATATGTAAATTCAATTGAACAGTTAACGATCATTTATGAACATAGAAGCTAACCGCACGGTACTTCGTGATATAGATATAATATCCTTTTCATTTCGATAATTTAGTCCTTTTTTTGCTCATTTTGTCTTAGTTGAAGGGCTTATAATTAGTATTATATAAGAAAACTGCTCACCACATTCAACCCCATTTAACAACCACTAGAGTGCTGGCGAAGAGCCAGCTACAATCACTACATCCTCCACAATACAGTTATTATGGTGGCGAGGATCAGATGTCAGGAATCAGGTGTCTAGATTGGAAACTTTGAGTTCAGACTTGGACACCGACTGCGCCAGGTATCAAGGGGGCCATGCACTACAATGGAACACGGTACGACAGTGAATACTACAGCGGAATACGGTACGGTACGGCACTACACACCCAAAAGGGAGGACAATACCGTGGAATCACTGGACAGTGGACACTCACATAAATTCTATGTTTGAATTTATTTCTCTTAGACTGCTCCTCTCCCATCATTAAAGCTGAAACATGTTCATTTTATATCTGGCTGAGATAAAGTTCTATCAAGCTACAGATACTAAGATGAGCCATGAATCTTGATTTCTTATTTTGCAGCTCTGTTAACGTGACATAACGGCTCTGTGTACGTGACATCTAGAACCTAGAGAGTCAAATATATATTCGTCTAGAACAAATGTACAAAAGGGGCGCAAATTACCAAATGTGGCCACTGGACAAGATTCAAATAGCTCTTTAGGGAGAGTGAGTGTTGAACACTCGGCTTTGTAAAGGAGCCTCGTGAGCTGCAAAACCTGACTAGGAGCTCATACTTCATATTCATAAGTTCATATTATAGTTATGAATATTGAATGATATTCGGGGTTCACCATCTTTTGTTATCAAGAACAAGCAACTCTTGCTTGAACAGATTAATGACCTTTGCTGTGATGCCCTATACTACTACAAATCCGTCGTTGTGTAGCAACTAACAGAGCGAAGTTCACCAACCCCATTAATTCACCACTCCACCAGCTAACTTTCTGTTGAACGAGCTGTTTGGTTATATCCTACAACTTTGCTCAGGATACGATATAAGGAGCTGGAATAAAGGCCCAGTTGTATTCTCAACAGAGCTGTACCGTCCAACCAAGTCCCAAATGTTAATCATCCTGGCAGTATAAGTGGTGATTTCGTCAGAGCTCTAGCCTTGAAAACGTTAGTATTCGAGCCACGCTCAAAGATTCCCCGCTCCCTCTTCTAATCACATAATCGCTCATTATATAACAATGGGCTAAACAATACTATTAGTATTCCCCATTATAATACACTCTCCCTGTCTTTACCCCGTTATTTGAAACTTTAGCTTCAAGTTAAAGGAGAGACATCAAAAGAAAAGCTGTTGAAAGATAGTATTTGTAGTGTTTTTTATAAGAGTTGTATCGATTAGATATAGACGGGGCCCGGTCGCAACAACCGGTTCCAAACAAATATTCATTACTTCTCAGCATATTATCATTATTACAGTTTATCTTTGCTTTCTTATTTTTTCTTCATTTTATCACAAAAATCACAGAGACTCTCTGGTAGTCTAAAAGTTATATCTGCTTTATCTACAATATGTGCAATATAATGTGCAATATGTGCAATGTGTGAAATATGTGCAATATGTGCAATATGTGCAATATGTGCAATAATCTGATATAATCATGTACTATGATATACTTTGTGTACGATGAGCCTCAGTTGAATCATCCATATTTGTGGACCCCATTAATAAGCTCCAATAATTGTTTCGTCAGACCCCCTGTGAAGTGTGAATGATCTCCAGCAGCGCCGTCTTGATTGGAGATCTGTAGTCTGTACATGTTGTTCATACTTGCTTCGTAAAAGAACATCGGGGGCAACAGTCGAGGGGGAGTACTATCTCCGTGCTGGAAGTCGATGAATTGATTTTACAGAAACTGCTTGCTATGTATTTGATCTGGAAACTTCAGACTTGGAATATAACTGACCAACGTGGAGCATCTTCATATTTGTATAGATAAATCTGCCACGCACACACTTCTTAGCACGTGCTGCCGCGAAGCCGTGCTGCCGCGAAGACGACCAGCCGTGCAGCGGTGGATTGCCACGAAATTGGTCTCTTGACGTGGGACAAATATTATCATTATATGCATCGGATATTCAACAGATAAATGGTTCCAGTAATATGTTTTAAACTTTGTGTTTATATACAGACGAACATAGTGCTCTTTTATAACCAGTGAGATGGATTAAATAGTTTTATATATTTATACCAAAAAGAGCACATTCTCGGCACAGGATCAGTTTGGGCTCTGTGTCTTCACCAACCAATTATAAGTTATTTGTTACTTCTTATCTTTCTGTTCATGCTTTCTGACCCGAATTATTTGTTTTGGTCAATATACGTCGTTTCATTTCAGTATAACTGAAGACCTAGTAATTTATTGTTGATTATGACAGTTCTGCGACGGTCGTTCTGATCACATTATACCCATCGGCCATCATTCACTATAAAATGAGCATCCAACTGTCTGTTTCCTGCACAGGTAAAATATTAATTCAATATCTGGAGCAATTATATCTTAACTGTTGCGTTTTGTTTCTAGAAAATAACGTAATAAACGTACTTCCAGCAATTGAAGTGATTTTCTAATGTTCAGTCTCCAGCTCCATCAACTTCCAGGTTAAGTTCCATTTCATTCAATCCCAATACTATAATCATCAACTTCATGTCTTCTGAATCTCGTGTCCGTTTCTTAGATACAGGGTGATCCCTCGTGCACCATTTCCTCAATTGACTCAAGAACCACGTGTATCAGAGCTTCAATCTCATATTAATTCCGTCCTCATGATTATTCGCTTTAAATTTGGGAACATTATTCTTAATATGGTTCTCATGCAGTTTGAGTCTTGAAGTTCTAGACCACAAGGGTGTCCTGTAAATAATGGTTGTTCTATTTTCTTTGAACACAAAGCCATTTGCAGGTGGTTGTGAGTCGGATTTATGATTATCCATATGCATATAATATAATATATTCAGCCACCGAATATATCGTCCACCGAATATCCCATGATTCGGTCGACCGAATACATTCGACAGAGTTGAACTTTAGGGTTTATCGAACTATAACAGTAATAGTATACGTGTCGAACTAGAGTAAGTGTGCCGGAACGTTTGCGGAGTAAAATATGCAATCGAAACCCTACCCCACCTTCATGGATAAATTACCAATTTTGTAAAAGATCCCACAATTTTTGAGACAATTCCACAATTCCCCTGGATTGACGTCACTCTATAATTGATTCACTTTGTAAAACGTAAAACGTTCATTAAACCAGAACAGCACTTATATAACACCCTCGTAGGCGTCCCTTGCAGACTGCAAAGAGGCCACTTTAAATTTGTAACACGTTCCATTGATCTAGGGTTAAATTGCGTGCTTGTACAGTTGTAATGACCCTGGACCCTGCGGTCATTAGGAAAGTTCGCACCAGATGGACCACGTTTTTCCAAATTTAACTTTAGAAGATTGTCACAGGAATAACTTTTAAGATAGGCATATGATATTTCTATTATAGTTCAACTAATTGAGTTTCTGGATTCATTTATTGTTGATGCGCGGCGTTACATTGGTCAAATAATTTAAATCGTCAATTTTTACCATCCCACTCATTCATAAAAAAACATAGTATGTAAATATGTTGCACTTTTTTCCAGTCACACTTTTCACTGAAAAGAATTAATGGTACAAGTACATTGTAGGGAAAATTGATCGTGCGTGGTTTAACCGCGGCGAAATTCTTGTTAAATCATATTTGAATAATAAGTATAACGTGTATCAAAGTATCCTGTGACCTAAAATACATGAGATGGATGCTCTACTAGGTCGAAGGAAGGCACAGTCGACCCCTTTTTTCCTTTTAATGGAGGGTAAAGTGTTGAGTAAGGCTAACATATCATTTCTAATTTTTGAATTATGTTTGAACAATAACGTCCTTTAAACTCTCCTTTGACCTGGTATACATTATATGGATACTTTAGGTTGATGGTAGACTCCACCTACCTTATCTGTCTTTTGATGAAAGATAAAACAAGGCTTACTATCAAGGTTTTGTTCATTACTATTTACTTGTTCTACTGCTTCTTTGGACTAGCCCTTCAAATTGTTTCTGTCTAACCTGTATTCATGAATAGTAAATACAGGTTTTGGGAAGTGAGATTGAGGCTAACTCCTTTCACGTTTATCGTAATATTTAACAAGTGATAGTTTTAATGTTGAATGCTTTTATTTACTTTGAGATTTAATTTGTTAATCTGTTAGCCCGAATTTCGCCTCCCGGAGAGAGGGTAGCCTTAATCCAACCCCACATAAGTTATAATAAAGTCTCAATTTCGCTCCCTCAAAAGGTGTGTAGCCTCATTTTCACCTCGAACATTTAAAGCTTAGATCTCGATCAAGTATAATCACTATGGACCATACTTGCAACTTGGATATCATGGACGTAACATGAGAAAGTTCTTTTTGAAAAGTGATGAGGCTAATTCGTTAGCCTCAATTGTCCCTCGCAGTTCAATCACTCCGACTGAGTCTAGTGAGTGAGCTTATAGGAGGTCACGTCAAACGATATTTTAGGGGTGTTTCTAATGACCAGGGTCTAATACACTGTTTAAGTCATCCTGCAAGTAACTAAGTTAAATCATTAACCTTACAAAGGTCCCAGCAAAACCAATTGGCCCTACATGTTATTTATGGTAATTTAAAAGTACAAGCCAGCTACTAGTTGTGGATCACGGCGTCTTGGGGCTCACAAACTTAGAGTAAACCGAGTGCGTTACAGAGTGCTCCATTAAAAGCACAAAACTACTTCTATAATCGTTCATTTGTCCATGTGTCCATCAGAACTAGAAGTATCTCAGTATCTTATGGCGGGAGGGAAGAGGGGGAGGGGTTGGAGTTTAACGCCAAATTAACTGGTCAGTGGTCGATTCTGCAAGCTCACTGTTCCAACGACATAACCATAAGAACTGTGCAAAAGGTTACAAATACAAATAGACTCATCTAATGACAGGAAGGGGTGTTAAGTTTAACTAGTCTCATTGTTGTCAGTTGTCACAGAACAAATATTGCATCACCTGTTTTACCCATGTCTGCTGAACAATACCATAATAGACTATCAACGTCAGAACGTGCCCAAAGCACCAAAACCGACAGCTATGTTAAACGAATAGAATCTCCAATAAAGCAAGAATAACTACCACTACCATGGTACCACCTTGAAAATAATATCACCCTGGTCATGGCGAGTTTAACCCAATAAAGACTCGGGAACAACCAGTTCAGAGAAATCACGTTAGTTTTACTTGGCTTTCACAGATGCTAGTTATAAAATACGTAATAAAAGTTATCTTGCTGTCAAATCTCACTACCGAACCTGATAACTGGAATTATATATAGTTAAGTGGGTATGGTAAATGTTATGGTGGTAGTGGATCTAGATTCCCTTGATGATCTTAGTTCATGCACCACTCTAGAGAGGAGCTAGCACTATTTAGAGGACGCGTTGGAACACGGCCCTGCGTAGTCATTCCCTTCCTATTTAACTGTATAATTCTACCGCATAAACCATTTGGACGTCTGAAATAGATGTCTGCTCTAGCAATTTCTCTCTCAGGGTTCTACACTATTTGCACCCTTTCTACCTCTACCGCCATTTAATGAGGAGTGCTACTTCCGCTGGAATTTTATTTCACTCTAAAACAATGCGTGGAATTAGAAAGGCCACGTGGTTGTCCTCTAATCTCGTGGGATATTACCTACCACGAAGTCCAGGGGTGATATATATATACCAGTACCTTTTCCACGTTACTCAGTATTGTGAAGTCGATTGTAGCAATCTTATCTATTCTTATGTACGTTATCTTATCTTATCTAATATCTATATGTTATCATTATGCCATTACTAAAGTTCCAGATCAAATGAGGTTTTGATACACCAGGATCACTTTAGCTTGCTATCCAATACGCAAGGAAAGTAGAGTCATTGACATTTTCCTATTGATTTTCAGTGATGTTCTGTTGTCATTTCGGTCATGAACTCAGCCTTGGAGTTGGAGTCGTTCATATCTGGGATATATTTGGGTGTTGGTTCTCGACTCCCCACCTTCAGCATGTGCCACTGAAGCTAATGGATCAATTGTTTTGTAATTTCGCCTTGAGTCAATTCTGTTCCTGATGGAAAAGGAATTGTATCTTTATCAGATTATTTCGATTATGTAGCTATGTCATACTCGACACATCCCACAACACTTACCATCATCCTTGATTACACATTCTGATTCCACCGGCATCCTCCCATAGGACTCAGGACTGCCATACCCCAGAGGTAGGCAAAGCATCCACATGCTATCCTCTCGTGGGCCATCCAGGCCCATCCTTTAAAAAAAATGTTTTTAAAATTACTCGGTATATTCTGTGAAATCCAGTGAATCTTGGCAGTGATTATTTTTCACCCAACTTATATTTATTGTGAATTGCTGACGGTTGCCATGTTGTGATTCTCTGAGCAACACCTAACACGGTAGTATTTGGATATCGGGAGATTATTTCACCCCGACGATAACAAAGTATTGCTTAACCTTTCCCTCTCTTATCTTGGTGAGATTTGGCTACCGGTGGGTGAATAATCACTGATCTGCGTCTGTTAAAATATGGCTGTAATCTTTTAATCGGTTTCGTCATGGATATAAATTCAGGAAGAATACAAATATTTATAAATTACTGGTTTCAAGCATGAATACAATACAACAAGATACAAGGGCAGGTCTCTCCCGCAAGTTGGGATGGCCTTACTTTTCAGTAACCCTAAGCCACTCTGTACCAAGGCACTATACTAGTATACTAGCTGTAGGGGGGTTAGTCCTACGAGACAGGGAGTGTGTATCACCAGCCGAAGCTGTTACAAATCACAGCTTGATAACTGGCCGAGCATGAATGGTGATTGAATATTCACAGGGCAGCATCTTTAATGCAATATCCCATTTTGCTAGATCCTTTAGTCGTTCTAAGTTCAGTTTCTCGCGCAAAACGCAGTTATTGCCTATATTTGCGCGATAAAACCTTGAAATACCAAGATAAACATTTATAATCTAACTACAATGTTTGAAGTTGCCGGCCGGCATTGTACCTATTTGCAAAAATAACTTACCTTTTTCCTTCGTTTCCCCTCTTCGGGCATTATAACGATATCGAACTTCACCTGAAAATATAACGGGTATTAACATGATAAATCCTATTCGAAAGTTAATTTCGAAGTCAAATAGTTTCTATAACTTGAATCATATAACAATTTGTTATTAATAACAAATTGTTTAACAAAAAAAAATCAAATACTAATTAGTATTTGATTTTTTTTTCTTCATGTTTAGCAGATTTATACACATTCATATATTTATACGTATATATATATATATATAAATATAAATATCTATAAACGATATAGAAATTATAAACAGAAATTATAAATGATAATTTATTAAGTTATTATAAATGATTTGTTAAGTTATTATAAATGATTTATTAAGTTATTATAAATGATTATCTCAATTTAACGTTATATGTAACATTCTATTGAGGCACTATGCACACGCTAACCCACCGTGTGTTAACCATAAACATAAATGCACTGCGCTATAATAATTGATAAGACCACTATATAATCGTATTTATTACTCTATTTGATCGGATGCCCACTTATTGTATTATAATAGTACTGTTTTAATTTAGGTTTGTGCCGAGTAGCCGCATTGTCTTTCCGAAGACAATGCGGCTACTCGGCCGACTTTTAGTTTTGCCGACTTTAAGATTCTTTGTACGTGCAATATAATATTTTCCATCTGTTTTAACTATGGATATCCTATCTTAGAACCACATCATCCACACTCAGCACTTCTATAGGTTTATTTGTGGGGGGCACCTGACGTGCTACATTAGCTTGGTACCTAAGTAAGAAGGCTACATCCACCTACTGACGTCTAATGGGGTCCTTCTGGTGCAGTGATTGAGCTTATAACTGAACTATATAATTCTCGGCCAAGTTCAGATATATATAATGCTCCCTGAAGGCCTTGTGGACGGCGACATCCCGAAGGTTGTCTACCACTACTTTAGGTTGCATGGTCCACACCTCTCCGCTACTACCAGGAAGCGACTTAGCACATTTACACCCTCCTGATATAGTGATATGTATAACCGCATTAATTATCACTACCGTCCGTCACTACTTCACTAATTGTGCAGTGATGTATCGTAATAGCTACGAAATTGATGGGTGTACGAACTTTGAACTTAGTGAGGTAATTACACGTGTATATTAAGAGGCAAAAAGTTGTGCGTTAAAGAAGTTTTGTCATATATCAAGTCACTTGTTTTATTCGAAAGATTACAGATACGCCACCGCCTAACTGGTCCTATCGAAATAAGGCATTCGGAAAACGCTTTCATTTTTAACATTTGTCTCATGACCAGGTTTAGGAGGCCTTGGCCTTAAGATGTATTTTAAATACAGATTCTATTTCGACGGCCCCATATTGACGGGCCTGCCAGCGTACGTGCTGTTTCGTATTGATTTCAACGGAGCAAATTCAATTAAATTTTGGCATACCAGATACAAAATTTGTATCACAGCCGATAATAATTTCCATGTAATTTCAACTAATTATGTATTGTAGCTAACTCCCGTAAAATAGAGAAATTCTCTCATTTTCTGGGTAGTTCTCGTGTTGTGTCACAATCGTTCTCTGTACGTACCTACTCAAAACGTTTTTATGAGCAGCAAATTTGGAAACAAAAAAACCGCAATTAAGCTGAATAATTCGCCAAATTTGCAAGCAATCCAAATTGTCTCAGGTTGGGTTATTCAACAGCGAAGTAAGGTAGTATATAACGTTGCCTTACACAATTGTTGTGTTTAACACAACAAATAACTTACAGTTACAAGGTGTCTTACGTTATGCCTTACACTGAGTGAAAATTCAAGATGTATAAACCTATAGTTACCCTCATAGAAGGTTTTACAATTATCATCATTTTACATTTATTATTTCACAATCATTTTGCAATCGTTTTATATGTTGCCTCTGTGCGAGCTATGTTGAAATATATAATACACTACAAAAGCTCTGTTGCTGGTATGCATGCTCATTTTTATCCTTGAGATGGATCAAGTTACAATTCCCAATATCGCTTCATTTCTTGGATTGTTCAATTCTTGTTAATAATAGTGAATAGTCACATACAACTGACAGTGTGATTTGTACCGGGATGCGCCTGGTACCAAATACTCAAGTAGCTGTTAGAGTAGTCATTAGTCATGAAACTGTCAACAGAGAACTTGAGTAGGCATTACAAAATCGATTTAGCCAAGTATGAAACACGGTGGTGATCCTTAAATGACAATCTTGTGTTAAATTAAACTATTTTTCCTCAATAAAGCAATATTGAGCAGGTTTGACAGTCCACTGTCGTCAGCTATTTAAACTGGTATATTACTATTAAACTGTTTATTTAATAAGATTGTGGCGTGACGTTGGTAGTTTTATTCTCCGTTTTCAAGCAGTTTGATTTGTCGTTTTTAAGCGGTTTTGAATGATCGATTTCTCGTTTTTAAGCGGTTTTGAATAAGCGATACCCCATCTTTTGATTGGTTTGAATCTTCGTATTTTCAGAGGTTTCGTCAGCTATTTAAACTGGTATATTACTATTAAACTGTTTATTTAATAAGATTGTGGCGTGACGTTGGTAGTTTTATTCTCCGTTTTTAAGCAGTTTGATTTGTCGTTTTTGAGCGGTTTTGAATGATCGATTTGTCGTTTTTAAGCAGGTTTGAATAAGCGATACCCCATCTTTTGATTGGTTTGAATCTTCGTATTTTCAGAGGTTTTAATAATGGTGTTATTACTTCGTCTTGAAAGCGTGTGTGTTCTTATTGGTGATATTCGTGTCAATGGTGTGTCAAATAAAATTCCTATAATAACCACCGTATGAGACGATATTGTCTCAAGTCCCAGTTTCACAGGTAAGGGAGGGGTATTCTATTCATAGTTTTATTTGAGCTCGTTATTACCTGTGTTGCACTATATAGCGCCCTCAATCAAGAATGTAGTATCCATAGAACTCTACCCGCACTCTTTAAGCAGTAATAATGTTCTATTAAACTTTAATCAACAGTAGATAAAATGTGTTACTTTGTAGAAATAATAACGACAACTGGACAGTGGATACCACTATAATCAGCAGATATAATTTGTCCTTCTGGCCGGATGTTACTTAATAGTTAACAGGGAGCTAGTTTGTTAGACAAATGTTCGTACATTATTAATAATGTACATTAATTAATGTTGAAGGAACAGATAGCAGTAAATTAACGCACGACGCCACAAATTTGCTGCAAATTTGAGTTCAGACAGTTACTTAGATTTAACCTAGTTTATATAATATCATGATTGAAAACCTGTAATTGAAAGTTGTAATCACAGTAGTAAATATTCGTTTCTCGAGTTCCAAACACTAAATCAACGTGGGCGGGTATTTAATCTAGTCTACCAATATAAGAGTATATTAATTACCATAGTCTGTTTTGGCATATACTGCAGGATGTCAGATGTTTTGGCGTACTTGAAATTTTATGGATGATAACTCACTTTAGTAGATCTCTAGTTTTTAGGGTTAATAATTGGGATAATTTACCTTTGTAGCAGCAGTTCTAAGTTTGGGATACAAGCCAACACGATACTAGAGAGGAAAGTGGAGTTACATTGCATTGTTACGCTATTGAACTCTCCCCTATAAATTAAATAAACTGTAGTATCGATATTTCATATCATTAGCTTAGTAGCTGTCTACGGAAATTACAGAGAAACACTTATATATCCAGCCACCTGCCACCTATTTGAGAGTTCCACGGAATCACGTACTTATGTCAGTAGATCGTTAAATTTGCATTTGCGGAATGCACTACAGACTTTATGTTCTGGGTTAACTCAAATATTAGGCTCTATTTCCGAATGATATCATGGCTCAAAGGTTATTGTCCTAATTTTGAAGGTTAGGTTTGTATATTAAAACTTGTACGAGTTTCTACATGTTCCTTTGATACTGTTGCTCTTCCAAATCGTTTGATCCTAAGTATTGCCTGAATAAGACCTAGAAAGTGGAGTATACTTCGTCCACTTAACCAATTAGCAACCTTTTTGTGATTAGCCAGAACTTACGGAGGAGAGACCTGCCCTTAAGTATCTTGTTGTTGTTGTTGTAAATAGTACAGACATACTTCTTGTTGTTGTTGTAAATAGTACGGATGTCGGTTTAGCTTTTTATTATTATATATTTAGTCGCTTAGTACTCAAGTAGTAGCTAGTGGTAACAACCATTTAGTAGTTTATTCTGGTATCGATATTATATTAGGGTACTGAAGATATCTAATGAGTCGAGTAGTCTAAATCATGCTTATATTATCAATTAAAAAACCAAGGTTGTATATTGGCAATATTGCATAATATACGATATTACAGTTTTTAGGTCGAACGTAAATATAAGGCGGCCATCGCGGCCTATTGCGAGGATGAAAATCAAACAGTTTTCATTTCATAAGGCATGGCTGTCTGATGCAATCCTTAGATTGCTTACTAATAGTGTGCGACCTATAATAGTAGTTTTGCCTCAGATATACCTATGAGTATTGCTGAAAGCACAGTGTAAGGCCTACACGGACCGCCTCTAACTATGTTTTTTACGTTTTGAATTTTTAACACTTGTTTTTAGATCATGAATACGATGTAGTTATATTGAAACGTCGAGTAAACTCCTTTTCCTAATAAGAGCATTTTTACTTGTCGCAGTAACCGGGATAAAGATAATTTTACACAGAATACACCTATAATAGAGTTTTACCCGGACTATGTTATAGTAGGTATCTTGGTTCTCATAACAGAATCTGTTTACAAATGACAGGTCACTCTCTCCACGTTAAGCTCAAGTAAGACCACTATGATACACATAGCACATATAATATGATGGTACGTGTTTTTGTATTGAGGACTGAAGGACTTGCACTTTTGTTTTTAAAGGAAAAATAGATGCCCATAACCCCTTTGACACTCAAGACATAACGTCTATTAAAATCAAGATTAGCCCACCCCAAATAAATAGGAAGAAGAGAAGAACTTAGAACTCTCAACACAAAGGAACTGCCCGGGCCGT